ACACACCCACACAACACAACACAACACACAACACGCATCCGTCAGATGAGGTTGTGTGCCACGCTTGAGCCCTTGGCGCCATGCGTCTGTGATGAGGCCTGCCCATCAGCAGCCGCAATGAGCGCATCCACGTCGTTGGCGCCATCCACCTCAGCACCATCCTCGTTGATCAGCAGCGGCTCAAACGCCTCAAGCGCCGCGCGTGTGCGCAGTGACCCGCGGGGCTCCCGTGCCGGATATGCGGCGGGATCCAACCGCACAGACTCGTCCTGCAGCTGCGAGCTGCGTTTGCGCACGCGTTTGGAGATGCGGCGGCTCAGCCTGTTCAGGTCCTCCGAGTTGTATTGCGGCTCTGCCAGCTCCTGCTCTTCTGTCGTCGTCACGCGCGACGTGGGGCTTGGCAGCGTGAAGTGCACATCGTTCTGGTCTTCGGGCAGCAGCACAAACGGCACGTGCGGGCGCTGCTCCTGGTAGTGCCCGACGAGCGTGGCCAGGTCTGGGAACCACGGCTGCGGCTGGTCCAGCAGGTGCAGGCGGTAGCCCTTGTCCTTGTTGAACTCGAGCGCATCGTGCCGCACAATGCTCGACGCAACACGCACGCACAGGAAGCAGTGCAGACGGCCGTACACAAGGAACGTGCCAATGGGCTTGTCACGCACAATCCTCTGCGCAGCGTCGCTGCCAATCGTCGGGTGGTACCAGTCGTGCATGTGCACGTACTCCCACGTCAGCCGCGACACAACGCGGCAGCGCGAGCGGTGGAATTGCTCCACACGGTCCGAAACGCTTGGGCCCGACACCTTCCGCAGCGATTTGAGCTTGATGTCCTCCCGCACCGACGTCTGCTTGCCGCCAATGTACGTGCTCTGCAGCGGGTTCAGGCCGCGGCGGGAGCGAATGCGCTTCACCTTCGGGCTCTTCTCGTTCCCATCGCCGCTGCCGCCGGTCAGGGACGCGTGACGCACGCTGTTGGCCAGGCGGGCAAACAGGCTGGGCCGACGGCCCTGTGCAGCCGGCTCCTCGTTGATGGAGTCGGCGTTGGGGCCAGCAACGCCGCTGCGCTCCAAGTCTTCCACCTCCACCTCGTGGCTCACGTTGGACGAGGCCGGGCGCATGTTCATCTTCGTCACAAAGAACGGGCTCTCCTTCTCGGGCTCATCCATGGTGCGCATGGCTGTGCCCACACCAGCAATGTTGCTGCTGTTGTTGCCCGTGTAGCCCTCCACGTCAAGCTTGATCACGGGGCTGCGGGCACGCTTGGCAGCACGCTTCTGCCGCGTCACCACAACAGCAACCACCGCCACAACCAGCAGCACGCCAGCGCCAACACCGGTGCCCACAGCAACCGCCTGCTCCACCTTGCTCTTGTCGTTGTTCGGGTTCAGGTTGCCTGTTGTCGTTACCGTGTCCCCCGTCGTCGTGGCTGTGGTTGTGGTTGTGGTTGTCGTGGTCGTCGTGATGGCCACAGAGAAAGACGTCTGGGCGCTCACGCCGTTGCCGGCTGGCGGCTGAATGGCCACCGCCTCCAGTGGAATCCCTGCGTCCTGGAGCGTTGTCTTGAGCGCGCCAGTCGATGCAACGGCCGCAAACGTCTCCACGACCGTGTTGAGCTCTTCCAGCTGCTGCTCGGACTCCTCGTCCGTCTTGGCGACCGTGCCGTTGTTCGCGTCCAGAATTTCAATCTCCACGTCAACGCCCGTGTCCGAGGTTGCGCGGCGACGCCGGCTCGACTCTTCTGCCAGTCGCTTCCGCAAAGCCTCCTCGCGCGCGCTCTCCAGGTTCACCTCGTGCACAGACACGACCTTGATGCGCCACGAGGGGATGTTGAGCAGGACGGCAAGGTTGTCCACAAGCGCCGCGCGGTTGGTGTGGAACTCGTCAACAGACACAGAGAGGGTCAGGTTCAGCTGCACCTTGTTGATGGTGCGGATGTCGTAAATCTGCTCCGCAGCTGATGGGCTACCCTGCAGCACAAGGTAATACGTGTTGCGCGCGTCATATGCGTTGGCGCCACGCGGGTCTGCCAGCGTTGGAATGCGTTGCAGCGGCTCAATCTCCTGTCCGCCGTTCACCACGCGCAGCGCAAGGTTGTCCTTGTACACGTAGATGCGCAGCAGCACCTTGTCGGCCGGGTCTGTGGAGTGGAAGCGGATGCGCGCGTTGTTTGGCAGCGTGTTTGACGTGTTCAGGCGGTATGTGCGGCCCGTCTCAAACACCATCGGGTACTGGCCAAAGAAGAACCGCTTGGCGCAGCCGTCGTCAAAGGGCCCCAGCGAGAAGTGCTGCCGCTCAACAACCGTCTCGTTGAACATGCGCTCCATCTTGATGGGCCCGATGCGCCGTGACCCGCGGTCACGGTCAATGTTCTCAAACGTGGCTGTGCGCAGCGGCATGCTGTGGCAGAAGAACGCGCCCGCGTCGCCCATGGTTGTGCAGCGCGAGTGCCCGTCAATCAGGCCTGGGTTGGCCTCACTCGTCACCACGCCGGCACGGCCCATTCCGCTCAGGCTGCCGTCAAGGTCATGCGCCACCATCAGGTGCACGGCGTCGCAGCCCGTGTTGCACTGGTGCTGGAAGATGCCCGTAGGCGCAAAGTAGAAGCGCGCGTCTGGCGCCGTGTTGTGCCACGTGATGCCTTCGTAGTACTGCTCGGGCGAGTAGTTGCGCTGCGTCGGGTTTGGCGAGATGCCAACAGACTTGAGCCCGCAGTCCGTGCTGTTGAAGTGCGAAAAGTCGGTGTCCACCACCCGCAGCTCCGTGTGCTGCGTGCCGGGCAGGCCGTAACGTCGCTCCCAGCCCATGGAGCACAGGCGCTCCGGTGTGGTGATGGGCCGGCACACGGGCAGGTCGTCCTGCCCACACGTCTTGCCGCGGTTGGTCACCTGCGGCAGAAGCAGGCCAACGCGACGGTACGTGTTGCCAAACACAGAGTTGCACGTGCCTGATGTGGCGGCCACGTCCAGTTTGGACGCGGCGCGGCAGCGAAGAGACGCGTCGCACGTGGACGCCGGCGTGCTGCCCATGATGATGCACGACACCACCTCCGCGCGCGTGTGCAGCGCAGGGTTGAAGAAGTTGGCGCTGATGCCAATGTGCGAGTCCGCAACCACAGACTCGTGCACCTCAAAGTGGGAGCGCTGGTCCACGGTGAGAATACCCACGTGCGCCGCCTTCCACGCCTTGAAGCGGTTCACGGCCAGGCACCCGCGCGACTCTGCAATCACAAACATGCCAATCAGCACGCCGTGCGCCTCGTTGTCGATGATGCGTGGCTCCGTGCTGTCGCAGGCGTCGGCGCGGACAACAAAGCCGGCATCCTCGCCCCCGCTCACCACATTGCCCTCCAGCACCACGGAGGCCGTGTCTGCAAAGATGGCCGCGTGTGGGCGCACCCACGTGTCTGTCTCGTCCGGGCTGCGGTGGTTGCCGACAATCAGGTTGCGGCGGATGTCTGCGCGCTGCGTCTCCGTGTCAAGCTCAATGCCATCCCGCTGCGTGTGGTGGATCACGTTGTCGTGGAGCGTGACCCCCTGTGACCCTTCGCTCACCACGCCGTAGTTGTGTGAGTCGGACATGGTGGAGAAGAGGACCTCGTTGATGGGCTCGTCGCCCGCCGCAAACGTCTCGTCGTACACGTACAGGATGCACGCGTGCTCCATGCCTTCCTGTCCGCAGCTGTTCATCTCCACGCCGGTGATGGAGCTCGTGCCAACGCGCGTGCCCTGCTCAAATGCGGCGTCCATGACAACAATGTGCGCACCGTACGTGTCGCCACCCTCGCCTGCGCCCGTCGCGCCCTCAAATCGCACGTTGCGGCTGAGCTTGCCCACCGCCGCACGCAGCTCCACGTCGCCCCGCCCCGATTCAACAAAGTCGGCAAAGTGGCGGTGCTGCAGGGGCGCCGTCAGCGTCACAGTCAGGCCGTCCGCAGACACGCCGGCAATCTCCGCCGTCTCATATGCGTCTGCGTTGTACTCGGTTGCGGAGAGGACGATGCGGTCGCCCTGCGCCCAGTCCACGGCCTCCATCATGTCCAGCGTGGTGTCGCCAGCCTCCGCCGTCATGGCAAGGCGCGTCCACGCCACGTCTGGTGGCAGGCCGTGCAGCTGCAGGTCGCCGAGCACCGCCAGGACCTTGTTGCCGAGGAAGCGGGAGTTGTGCACGACAAGTGTTGGGGACGTGCGCTCGCCATGCAGGCGAATGACGGCCTGGTGGGAGAAGGGCCGCCCCTTGGAGCCAACCTGCAGGCTGCCCCACACCTCAATCGTGTCTGCCTCCAGCGTGCGGTCTGCGTCGTCCTTGAACTCCAGCTTGCCGATAATCTGCAGGTTGCCGATGCGCGGCGGGTCCATGTCCAGCACCACGTACATGCGGCTGTTGATGACAATGTTGTCGCCGGCCTCTGGGTAGGCGGTGATGCCCTCGCAGGGGGCAAACCCGTCGCCAAACCGCCCGTACGACGCCTTCTGCTCCGACGGCACGCGACACCACATGCTGATGTCCGACCAGTACGTGGGGTCGTACAGCGGCTCCGTGGAGAAGAGGTCGTTGCACGCGCCCGGCGCGCACTGGATGGCGCTCACGTCAACCACGTACGGCCCGCCAGAGCCAATGGTGCCGGGGATGGTGTGGTCGATGCCAGAGGTGGTCAGGGCCACGTGCCACAGCTGGCGGTTGTGATCAATCTTGCCGGTGCCAAACGGGTCTGTCACGGAGAGGTCGGTGATGAGCGAGGCGGCGGGGCGCTCCTCCCCGTTGTTGTAAATCACCTCAAACGCCCAGCGGTAGTCGATGTAGCTCCACATGAGCTCGAGATATTCCTTGGACCCGCGCAGATACTCCGGCTCCGAGTAGCGGATGCGCATGGTGCGGAAGTCAATCATGCTCACCAGGGACGCAAAGTACGAGTGCTGGTTCACAATGGGCACGGCATACCCATAAAACTCCTTGGGCCGGAACACGAGCGTGTCCTCCGTGGTGTTGGGGTGGTCGCGCTGCGAAAACTGGACGCTTGCAAAGTCGAGCTCGTCCGGGTTGATGCCGTCAATCTGCAGGCGGCGCACGCGCACGTCGCCGTTGCACACAATGCCCTCGTCGTACACGGCGTCCTTGTGGTCGCACAGGCCCGGGTAGTGGTTCCACGCGTAGTAGGGCGTGGCCGTGCCGTTGACAAAGCCCGTGAGCGAGCCGTCCAGGTCGTGGAAGATCTGCTTGAAGGGCACCGTCCACCTCACATACCGCTGCGTGTTGACAAAGCGCACGTTGGCCAGGCGGAACGTGTAGCCGCCCTGCCTGTAGTCCGTGTCTGAGCCGCAGCTGGCGCACCCGGAGATGGCACCGGCGTCCTCGTAGTTGACAAAGGTCGCGCCGTCGACGTGGAAAAACTCGTTCTGCGGCATCATAATCGCAGAGAGGGTCTTCTTCTTCGCGGGCAGCGACACGCTGTTAACAAAGAGCGAGTTGACAATGTTGGGGTCGTCCTCCCTGTACTCAATGCCAATAAACTTCTTCCAGAACAACTCCTCCTGGCCGTTGCCAACCAGCTTGGCGTTGACGTGATGCAAGTCGCCGTTCTGCTTGCCAAAGATGCCGTGGGCGCCGTTGTAGAAGGACGTGAAGTTGTGGAAGTACTGCGGTGCGGGCCCGGACGTGGAGTCACAGGGGTCCACAAACGGAACGTACGAGGGGTAAATGCGCAGGCCGTGCACGCCGTTGGAGTGGGCCGTGTTGTTGAAAAACTCGCGCATGTGCCAGTGCACGGGGCAGATGGACGTGGTGAAGGAGGGGCCACCCGGGTGCGTGGGCGGCTCAAACCAGTAGCCGTCGTTGTCGCAGCCGGCGGCGACGTTGTGGCGCCAGTGGTTCGCTGGCGACGCCATCCAGAACGTGGCGGGCTTGGTGTCGGACTTGAGCATGACAAACAGGCGCTGCGTGAACACGCCAAGGTTCGCCTCAATCACGTTGAACTGCTCGTTGCCGTCCTCAACAAAGAAGTTGTGGCCCTTGACGTGGTAGGCAACGTTGTTCTGCACGAGCGAGCGGTGCGTTGCGTGCACGGTGACGGCGCGCTGGAACGAGTGGTGGATGGAGTTGGAGCGGATGTACGAGTCACGGTTGTCGCCGGCCACGTGGAAGTGGCTGCAGTAGCGCCCGAGCACGCCCGCCTGGCCGCACCGCCGAATCTCAATGTTCTCCACGCGCAGGAGCGCGCCGTGTGCACCAATGAGGTGCGAGCCAAAGCGCTGCTTCTCCGACTTGCCCGGCTCGCCCTGCACGACAATGTTGCGGGAGATGATACCCACCTCCACGCGCATGTCAATGCGCTCGCCAGCAATGTAGTGGATGGCAGACTCGTGCGTGTGGCGCACGGGGTCACGCAGGACAATGGTGTACCCGTCGTCCTCAAGGCCAGCAACCACCAGCTCCTCCGTGTTGCGCATGGCGCTGTGGTGGGTGAGGATGATGTCTTCGCCATCCTCAAAGTCGACCTGCTCCGAGAGGTGGATGCGGTCATCGCCAGCGTGCACCGTGCTCTCCACCTTGGTCCACGTGCGCACGCGCGGGCGGCCATGGAGGTCAAGCACACCGCGGTCGCGCCACGCAACAACGTGGCCCGTGCCGTGGTGGTGTGCCGACTCTTCCGTGTTGTCGCTCGCGGCAAGCACCTTTGCGCCAATGTGCGGGATGCCGGCGCTGTTGAAGCGGTCGCCGTATAGCGTGATGGTGGCGCGGTTGAGGAACGGGTCCTCCTCCGTGCCAATCTCAAACTTGCCGCCCTGCACCCAGATGTAGGATGCATGCACGTCAATGTCCCTGCGGTCAAACACAAGCTCGCCCTGCACAAGGAGGAGGTACATCTTGGGCGGTGACACGTCCAGCAGCACCACCTGGTCTGGCGGGATCACCACGGTGTCGCCGTCCACGGGCGGCTCATCGTTGGCCCACGTGTTCACCTGCGACCACCGATCAAGGTAGCGGAAGCGCACCGTCGACTCCGACACGGCGCTGTGGCCGGCAGGCGTGCGCAGCTCCAGGGAGAGTGGGTTCAGCGCGCTGCGCTTGGTGGTCTCGCACGTCACCCATGTGCCGTCCGCGGCGGCGTCGCGCACAAGGCACGGGTATCCGTTGACCATGGCCGTGGTGTCGTTCACCTGGGAGGAGGTTGGCAGGCGCGCGCCCGTGAGTGTGACAAGGGTTCCGCCCAGCGACGACCCAAACTTGGGCTCGACGCTTGTGATGACGGGCGTGGCGGCAATGCCGTAGGCAAGCGTTTGGTTGGCGTTGCCGTCCACGGAGACGGGCAGGGAGGAGGCGGAGGCTGACGTCGCCGTCGCTGTGGCCATGACAAGCGCGTGGTTGGTGTCGCGGGCAACGTGGCCCATGCTGGCGTGCGGCTGTGGCGGGTGCACGCCAACAGACACGGCGCAGGCGTTGTTGGCGTCCAGGGTGCTCATGTAGATGCCAATGTACTCGAGCTCGGCCATGGTGCAGTAGCCGTCGACGGGCCCGTTGTAGCGGACGTAGCGGATGTATCCCGTGGGTTCATCGAGGTCAATGGAGGTCCAGCCCTCCGTTGTCTCCTGACTGATGGTGGCCACCTGCGTGAAGTTGACACCGTCAAGCGAGACGTGGAAGGTGCCGCCAGCGGCCTTTGTTCGGTACTGCAGGCGCGGGAAGTAGCGGATGCGGTGCAGCGAGGCAACAGACGCCTCGCCCAGGTCGTACAGGATGCTGCAGGTGGAGCGATACCCGCTGTATGACCACGAGTGCGTGAGGAAGTCGTCGTCAAACACGCTGGCAACGCCGACCGCGCCGTATCCTGTCGGTGTGCCGGAGAGGACCTGCTGCTCCACGTTGTTGAAGGCCTCGTACGACTCGGGCGTGTTGATGCTGGGCGCCTCGCACACGGCCGTGTCGTAGCTGGAGGAGATGACGGTGCACGGACGGTCGCACACGGTCACAACAGAGCGCTTGGTGTCCAGTCCAAAGCCGCGGCCGCGGAGTGTGACGTGCGTGCCGCCGCCATAGCTCGCCAGCTCCGGAGCAACGTCGTCAAGCTGCAGGAGGGAGGTGAACGCCTTGGCGCCACGCACGACACCAAAAGGTGACACGTCCACAAGCACCTGGTGCGTGCCTGCAGGTACGCGGCCAAGGAGGCACTCGACCTGTGTGTCTGTGGATGCAGTCTGGTTGATCTCGCACGGCACGCCGGCGACGGAGATGGCGATGTTGGTTGGCCAAGTCGGGGTGACTGTGGCGTTGGTGGCATTGACGTACGGCGTGGGGTCGAAGCCACCGAGCAGGCCGGTGCCCGTGAGAGTCAGGGTGAGTGAGCCATCAGCAACGCCCTGCGTCGGGCTGACAGAGGCGAGGTTGCCAGACTGGGACATGTTGTATGCAAACTGGCACAACTCCGGTACCGGGCAGTCGCTGTACGTGCGCAGGTTGGTGGATGCACCAAACGTGGTGCTGCTGGTGGTGTCGGAGGAGGAACCGTGATCGTGATCGTGATCGCTATCACCCCCATATGGCTCAACCAGAACTGTGAGGCTCGCCGTCTGCGTGTCCGCAATGCTGGTTTGCTGCAGCGTTGGCGTGATGAACGTGACGCTGCCGTATGTGGCGTCAACTACAAGCGCGCGTGTGTTGTCCAGCAACACCCAGTTGCCCTGCACTGCATCATGCGGGTTGAACCCGTCACCAAAGAGCGTGACGCGCGCGCCACCAGCGATAGAGCCCGTGCGTGGCTCCATGTGCGAGACGGTGAGCGGGTAGGAGAACATGAGGTGGCCGGCATGGGTCGTCGCAACATCATCAAACGTCGTCGTTGTCGTTGTCGTCGTGGTAGTCGTCGTCGTTGTACTCGTGGTTGTTGTTGTTGTTGTGGTGGTGTTCATGGCCATGGTGGCGTTGACGGCCAGCGTGGCATTCACCATCGTGGTGGTGGTGGTCGTTGTGGTTGTCGTGTTGTCCGCCATACCCATGTCCATGTCCATGTCCATGTCCATGTGATGGTGGTGGTAGTGGAGGTTGACTGTGGCCGTACCGACAGGTGGAACCATGACTGCGATGGAGTGGTTGCCGGCGGTGAGCGCGGGCACCATGCACCAAATGTCGTGCTGCGTGTAGTCAACAACGTGACAGTGGCCATATCCGACCGTGACGTGCGGGGCGAGCGTGAGGTTGTCAGCACCCACGTGCTCGAATGACATCAGGTCCTCGGCAGAGAACTGGAAGCGGTATCCCTGCAGGTGCAGCAGCGTGCCCTCACCGCCCGTCGTGTTGCTGGCCCCGGTGATGACAGGGGTGAGCGCGGGGAGAATGCTAAAGTCGCAAGCGCTGGTCGGCTGCGTGGAGCCGGGCGGGGGCACGTCGCACTTTGCAACAAACCCGTTGACCTGCAGCTCCAGCACACCACCCTCAACAGGGGTGTCGGTGGCATCGAGGGTGCACTGCACGAGCGTGTTGGTGACGTTGAAGACGCGACATGCGGTCACAGCGGTGCCATTCTCGTCCTTGATGAGGACACCGGCCGACGAGAGCAGCGTGCCAAACCCTTGGCCGTGGATCTCCACAACAGAGCCGCCGTTCATGCCCACGGCCGAGGGGGAGACGGCGCTCACGCGGTGCGCCACGTCCACGCGCACAGCGGGCTCCGGGCGGGCAAGCACAATGCCGTCTGCGGTGCAGAAGCGCATCTCGGGCACCTGGTCCACCTGCTGGGTAATGGGGAGGGCGTCGCCACGCACGACGAGGCACGTGAGGTGCGCGCCGTCGTCCGTCACCTGCGCATCCGCACACTCGCGGTGGCCGGCGAGGAACACCGTGGCCGCCTTTGTGCCCATGACGGGGCTGCACATGGAGCTGTTGCTGACGAGCTCGCCCGGTGTTGGGAACGCGCCGTCAAACACGAGGTAAGTCGACACGGCGCTGGGGATCTGCGAGGGATACACGTGCGTGATGGCCGTGGTGGCGTCCCAATCGTACGTGAACGACACGGCCGGCACCGCGGCACCGTTGACGGTGATGTTGACGTCGACCGTGGTGGTGTTGACCAGGGCGGCCTTGCCCTGCGCCAGGGTGAGGGACCCGTCATCACTGCTGAGGTGGGGCACGACGCACACGGCGTGGTCGTGCGCAGAGGCGACAACCATGGCAGCAGCGCCGCCAAACAGCACAGCATCGTCGCTCGTGTCGGAGAAGCCCGTGCCCCTGATGGTGACGAGCCTGCCACCGGCAACGCCGGACGAGGTGGGGGTGATGCTGTCGATACGGAAGCCGTAGTTGATGGTGGTGTTGGCGTCGTCGCGTGCACGACCCTGGCCGTCAACAACAACGTCCATGTGATGTGCGCCCGCAGCGCCGTGGGCGAGCGTGCACTCAATGTACGTGCTGTTGACAAACGTGACGTTGCAGGCTGGCCCATCCACGCCCATAAACACGGCAACACCAACCGCAAGCGCGCTGTCAGTGGTGGTGGTGGTGGTGGCGTTTGCAGCAGCACCATCCTCACTCGTCGTCGTGTTGTTGATGACGTCATTGGCGGTGTTGACAGTGGCAAAGTTGCGGCCCCAAATGGAGACGGTGTCGCCGTTGTATGCGGTGGGCGGGGCGGCGACAGCGGTGATGACGGGCGTGATGTCATCGTTGTAGGTGAAGGCGCACACGCTGTCCCCCGTGCCAACATCGTCGCAGCCAGCAGGCACGTCATCCACAAAGACGCGCACGGACGAGTTGACGTTGGTGTAGACGCGCTGAAAGTGCTCGCCGGGAATGGGGTCAAGCATCAGGTCGTGCACGCCCTCCTGCTCCACAACGACAGACATGGACGCGTTGGTGCCCTCGAGACGCGAGTCATCGACCATGAGCAGGTCCGTGTTGCCGGTCGGGGTGTAGAAGGTGAAGGAGATACGCCGGCCGTCGTGGATGTTGTGCGTCTGCTGCACACGAAGGTCGGTGAGGGTGGTGTACTGCTCAAGCTGGTCGGCGATGGTGTCGGCAGATGCGCTCCAGTCGAGCCAGTCAGTCCACAGGTTGTGGTAGCCGACACGGAAGGTGCCGCGAATGGGGTCTGATGCCGCCACGGTCCGCTGCGTGTCGATGCTGAACGATGCCGTCTTGCCCGTGAGCTGCGCCGTCGACGTCTCAATCACCTGCGGCAGCGCAAACTCCGTCTCTGTTGGGCAGTTGTAACGGATGCGGTACGTGCGCACCGTCTCGTTGGTGCTGGGCTCAACCGTGTCCTGCACCCACGCGCCAATGGACGAGCAAGGGCTGGTGTCACTGATGGCGTATGCCATGGTGCTTGACGGCGAGTCCCAGTTCACCTGGCGGGAGAGGGTGTTCTGGCCGTAGAGGTAGAACGAGCCGCCCGTGGCGCCGGTGATGGTGATGGTGTGCTCCTCGCGCGTGACAATCGTTGAGAAGCGAACGCTTTGCCGCTCCCGCACAGACTCGTGCATCTTCTGGTACACGGTGAGGTTGCGCGGGTCTTGGGGGCGGATGGAGCACGCCACGAAGACAAAGTCGCCTCCGCCGCCGTCACGCTGTTGCACGCGCGTGAAGTAGCGCTGGCCTGCAATGAGGGGCACGGGGTCGGAAATCTGGCCATCGCGCACGTAAAAGTGTGACGAGTAGGAGCCAATGTGCACGATGCGGCGGGCGTTTGCCGGGTCCTCGTCCGTGCTCAGCTCCAGGCTGCCCTGGTCGTCGGAGCGCACGTAAAACGTGTAGTTGCCCGTAATCGGCGGCACAAAGTACGCAACAATCTGTGACGTGTGTGTGAGTGTGTATATGTGTGTGTGTGAGTGTGAGTGAGAAGTGGGGAGGGGGGGGGGTGAGGGCATGGGGGCAATTGGGAGGGAGGAGGCAAAGGAGGGTGAACGTTGTGAGAGGAGGAGGAAAATGTGGTGCTGTGTGAGGAGGAGGAGGGAAAGGATGCAAGACCTCATTGGAACGAAGTATGGCATGACCGTAAAAGACAAAAAAAAATTAAAAGTCTTCATTCACAAATACATGAGCACACATGCATATGCACGCACACAAACAGGCAGACAGACACAGACACAGACACACACATACACCAGCAGCAGCAGCAGCAGCGCACCTCAGAGGCGTATCGGGGGAACGAGTCAATCTGGACAAGGCCTTGCAGTGCGGCCATCTGTGTCATCTCAAGGTCTGGGGCGCCGAGTTGGGGCGCCGTAAATGGCCACGGCTGGTTTCCATTCCACGCGCGAAGGTTGAGGCCTGTCGGTGTGTGGTGGGCCTGCGGGTTGGCGGCAAAGGGCTGCAGCTCGCACGTGAGTGTCGTGCGCTCGCACGTGGTGATGATGCAGGGGACACCGGCGACCAGCACTTTGTTTGCGTTGCAGTTGTCGTCGTCAAAGCCGGAGCCCGTGATGGTGATGATGTAACCGCCAAGCAGACCCGAGGAGGAGTGGCTGATGTGCGACACCTGCGGGTGCACTGTCACCGTGTATGGCTTACCGCCGTCTGCA